GTAAAATAGTCAACAGCCTATTTCCCTTTATTGCTTGTAAACATTTTGCTTTTTTAACATTAAAAAAAAATCCTGAATGTTTTCCTGTGGCTCAACCCCTCTCCACCTTAAAAAAACATAAAAAAAAACATTGTTACAGACTTGAAACTACAAACTTTACTTTTCACGATTGAAAAGGTTCATTGTCGACGGATTTTTCCGTATTTCACGATCATGACAAGGAGCACACGGCGGGTATGACCTGTCGGCAGGGGATGCTTGCTCCTCCATGGCATCTGATCCCACCTCTGACATTTTAGAGGTGCGTGTTTGCTCTGCTCCCGATTTGTATTGTTTAATGGACATTTGAGCTTGAATACCGTTCGTTATCTACATATATTTCATTCATTGAAAGGGCAGCTCCCCCTTTTTTTGTTGCAGTATAGTCAATTCAGGGTAATGTATTAATAAAATTTGGTACTGAAAGATGGAACACCTACCCTCCCCCACTTACACCTCCCACGAAATAGGATTTTCGAGTATGTTGAATTTTTTCTCTTGCTGCCCTCCCCCCTTTTTTTCAAAAAAGATGCTACGTTCCTGTGAAATATTTGACAGATACATTTATGCGCAAATTGTTAAAATGCAAAGAATAAGAAAAAATAAAACTAGCAGGTACCGATATCATTTACACATGGTTTTTATGTCCAAAACATCAAGGTACGCTTATCACCTTCATACGAGATATATGATTTATTTGTAGGTTTTATTCAACTCTGCTTGTCGCTAGCTAATTGTTAAGACTCAATAAATCTACAATTCACTTTGATTCATTTAATGAAATATGACAAAAATAACAAAATCAAGCGGTGTAAACTCATGAACCTGTCAAGCTCGACGTCATCTTGGGATATGCGTACCTACTGGTACAGATATCGGCTTAATACCAGTGAATATTAAAAAAAAAATAATTCGACAATGACTGGTGCGCCTCTCGCATGAAATGCATCTTTGCTGACCAAAAACTTTTACACATGTAGTTCTTGGAAAGCTTTTTTTTTTTTTTTTTTTTTTTACAAATATTTTTGATATAAACAACAAATTTAAGCATTTGCTGTTAATGTATATATAATATGAATGTGTAATAAAATATCTAAAGAAAACCTGGATAGACATTTAAATATTTTAAGTAAAAAATTTATTTATGAAAATAAAACACATTATTTGTGAATATTTTTTTAAGCCTATGGATAAAATCTTCATAAAACTAGTCAGAACTATGGAGAACATGTTAGTCAGACATATTTTAAAAAGAAATTGAAATTGCAAAATTTTAGGGAAACTATTTTTTTTTTCAATATTTAGACCAATCCCGATCAAAATTAACACAAAATAAATAAGACGAAATTATTGCCTTCTTTAAGTATTTACCACTAAGAAATTTATTTATTTATCAAGTTCAATTACTTTTTAACGCGTATTACACCTAAACAAACTTGTATTCCTTGTGAAAATATTATCTATTATCAATTATTATAAAATTCTGGTAGGGATCAGTTTAATTTCGATCGGGATCGGCTAAAATTTGTAAAAAATAATTTCTCTAAAATTTCGCAATTTCGTTTCAATTTCTTTTTCAAATATGATTGTCTAACATATCCTTTGTAGCTGTGACTTGTTTTTTGAATATATTATCCATATGTTTTGAAGATATTCACAAATAATGTACTTTTTCGAAAAAAAAAATTTAGTAAAAGAATTAAAATGTCTATCTGGCTTTTCTTCACATATTTTATGAGATATTTACATTATGCATTCATTAACATAAAATTTTTAACTATAAAGCATCTTATTTGCAAATAAAACATTTTTTTTTCATTTTCTATGAAAAATAGGAGAAATTCTTATAAAATAATTAAGAGCTAGGCCTTTCAATGCTGAAACCATGACTTATGAAGCTCTAAACACTGCACACTAAAGAGTTCTATTCGTAGGGTATTTTTATTGAGTGATTTGCACTTAGAAGAAAAATAGTATAAATGGGAATCTACAGTTAATGACACAATTTCTTATGAATTAAAGTATTCTTAATGTTATGTTAGACCAAGATTAAGTAATTGAATACATTATTTTCATTAATTTTCCTGATGCTAGTAAACAACAGTGATTTCTGTTCACAAATAGTTCATTGTCTTTGAACATTTTTTTTCTGCAGAAATAAGGCAGTTACCCTATGTTGAAAATGAACTTGATACACTGAATATGTGCACCTCTATATGATATATTTTTCTCAAAGCCCAAAAAGCATTTTTCATTAGTGTTTAGAGCTTCCTTAACATGGATGTCTTAAGACCAATGGAATAAAATTTTGGTGTGGCATTCCTCCTTAAGAAAGTAATTATGGGTCCAGTTCCTAATGAATAGAAAGCCTCATTTGCGGTTTGTATAAACAAGAGCATAAATTATGGATATAAAATTTTATTCAGAAGATAAATATCATCAATGTTCATTTTTGCATACTTACATGTAAACATACATCAATAAAAAGAATTGTTATTACTTTAAAAATATATAACTATATAAATCAATACTAAAAAAGTCTAACATTTCCAATGTTTTACTGAGCGTTCATAAAAAAAAATGATGTTTGACTGCAAAGTGAGATATTGGACATTGGACCGCTTATGTCACAATGTTGGCAGGATCAGCTAAATCTTATTTTCATCTGTTGGTGAGCGACAGTAACAGAATTGACCAAGTTTAACACAGTGCAGGTAAAGGAAATTAACATCATAGAAGCCAGCACGAGTACAGTCATAACTGAGGTAATGTGTAGTAGGCCTCTCGGAGCAAATAGAGAACAAGTATCAGCTGTCAACATGCAGTAGACCTGGAACAAAGTGAGAAAAATTATTACATCACTTATGTCAGCTAAAGGTGCTGTGAGCGATCTCACAAAATAATAAGGTTATAACCCTGCTGCAATTCTTTTATTTAGAATGTGTAAATGTGACCTTGAACTTACCAAAATGACTTTGGTTAAAAAATGACAGATCTTTGGACATGAGTAATCTAAGAGTGAAATATGGACATCCAATTTTTCTCCATTAATACAAAATAATAGACTTGCATTTTTTTTCTGCCAGAGACCTTGAACTTGTCACAATGACCCTCAGGTCAAAAAAAATTTTTGTAGCAAATTAAAGCTCAGTAACAAAGTTATTGACTGGACAAGAATGTTATCTCTTATCTGCCAGTGACTTTGAACTTGCCAGAATGACCTTGGTCAAAGTCAAGACAAACTTTCAGGTCATAAACAATCTTTGTAGCAAGTAAGAGCTTCCAATGATTCTCCATTACAAAGTTACAGCCTACACAAGTGTTTTATACCTTTTTAAGCCAGTGACCTTGAACTTGCCAGAATTGCCATGGGCCAAGGTCATGACACACTCTCAGGTCTTCAATAATCTTTGAACCAAGAATGAGCCTCAATGATTCTCCATTGCAAACTGATATCCTGGACAAGAAGTTTATATCTTTTCTGTCAGTGACCTTGAATTTTGACAGACTGTTTGATGGGATCCTGCCAATCAAGTCGGGTTCATCAGGACATTTGAGCAATATAAGCCCTAAAGATTCAACAAACTTTCATAAAATAATTATCGTTAATATTAATAAATTAGTTTAAAACTATACTAAACATAACTATTTACATCATATTGAAACATTGTACTGAACAAAAGTAGTTTTGACCTCGACTTGTTAATAACAGCTGTGGCTAAAAATAGTGATTGGGTCATGTGGGGATTTTTTTTTTACACAGCAATGACTGTTTACAATCTAACATATAAGAAAGGATAAGATAGGCTAAGATCCCTTTTTGGCCCCTGGTTTGGGGTGTCTTTTAGAATGTTGCAACAGTTTTCCAGTTAAAAACCTGATGTCACCCCTGTCATAAATTGAGTATTGTTTCTAAGTTATGGGATACACAGATGCCACAGGAAGGTTAGGAAATATGTCAGTTTCCGAATTTTCTCATTTTATGCAAATTTTCATTGATTTTACAGCACATTTTGGTTCAGAAAACATAGAGCACAAGCTTGCCTATCTACCAAATTTATATATTTCATACACTAGTATCAGATGCATCTTATGTATAAAAATCTCAGATAGGCAGCCTTGTGCTCTATATTTCCCAAAGTGAAAAGTATCTCAAATTTGACGAAATGCGACCAGAATTGAGGAAATTCTTGAAAATAACCTACTTCTACACCCTCTTGTGGCCTCCGTGTAAGCTTTGAATCAAAATTAGTGCTGGTTTTAAAACAAGCATTATTTTTAATTCTTACCTACAAACTATCACAATTTTAACTGTGTTCTGATTTTTACATCAAATAAGGGGCCAGATTCGGCCGTTACCATACCTTGTCCTTTCTTTGAAAGTTTTTAGAATATTTATTTGAAGGACTGAAATGGGGGTTCAACAGTTATTTTATCAATACGACCAATTGGTCTTTTACACGACTGGACCACTCATTTACTAGACTGGGTCAAACATGCCTTAGTGTCAAACCCTGTTGAACTAACCGGAATGACCTTGGGTCAAGATCTTGACACACCAACAGGTCATAAACATTCTTTGTACCAAGTTTGAGCTTCCAATGACCAACAAGTTGGCACTGATAGACTGACAAGGTGATTCTTATATATTCCCCCAACCTTTATTGTGGGGGTAGAAGACCAGCATGATGAATATAAGACAGAACATTCAGGATCTAAATGAAAAATGGGGACTCCTGATACACGTATCAGAGTGGAAGGAGATGCTCAATACAAAAATGCCACCTTCAGTGCCACTGGGAAAACCCAATTCTAAGGTGCTACCCAAGTGACATATACTGTGTTCTTAGAGGAAGAATATTGTAGCAGTGTTCTATGGAAATAAATTTTGTAAGAAAGGTGAAAGCTGAGAAATAAAGGAAGGAAGTTACCTGCCCAGCCATGAGGACTGCATTGTCACCATTCCTCCAAAGACAATGATTGTGGATGAGAAGAGATGGGCTGCAGAAAGTGAAAGTGAGCTGCAAAGTGATGACCATCCACTAGTCATCTTCTATTTCACCAGTGATGGTTAAGGTGCCACTCTATACGGATTATCTGAAAAACAAGGAAATTTCATTGAAAACCTAAAAGACTTGCTGCAATTCTTTGATTCTCAAAGAAAACAGACAGCTATGGCTTAATTAGCAGCCACACATTTCTGAGAAGAATAAAAGAATCCACACAAAGAAAATTTGCCTTTGACCTAAAGCTTCAATGCAAAACAGAGTAAAAAAAAATATCAGTACTATTAGCACTATTCCATGAGATTTACCTTTGATTAAGTGGGCCATGTCTTCTACCATCAATTCAATCATAAGCTGCTACCAGAAACAGTGTGGAAAGTCCTGTCAACTTACCGGTAATTCCTTTTCCTGTCGATGACTGAAAAGCAATGAGTGGAAATTTCAGTGTTGCCTAGTGACTATGAATTAAACATGACAGAAGAAAATGTTTGTTAGAAGATTATTGACTTGACTTTTAAGTCCAAATAATCTTGCTAGCTAAAATTAAAAGACTGTTCCAAGGAACACATGTGTCGCCTGATGAACAGCATCATTATTTAAGATTAAAAGAAAATCTAAGGGTGGTCAAATATTATTTGATACAAGCATTATGAGGGTTGTTAAGAGATTATTAGTACATAGTGTTTATTTTTCTTTCCAAGTAATGCCTTTTGGTGAAAAATGGCATATACGTTTGACAAACACTAAGAATTAATAAAAGCAACAAATATTTTACAAAGATTTTATTTCTTCTTTTCAATGGTATATTAATGGGTAAATAGAAGGGGTACCCGGTGCCATCACGAAATCATATATTGAAATATGTTATACCTATGTTCCAACTCCCAGTGGTCCCATATACAGCAAGAGCGAAAATAATTCAAATTATATATCGGTATTTATTTTTTCAATCTCATTTCAATTCATTTTGTGCAAGCTTCTTAGAATTTCAATCAGAAATACGGAGATCATAAAAAAATCTAAGCTTGGTATAGATATCTGATTACATCAATAAAATAGATTTTGATGTCAACACGACACAGCAAGCATACCTAGAATTTTACATAGCTCTGTGGAGAACTCTTTTCCAGACAAAAAGATCTTCTAAAACAATAACAACTAGTGCTAACTGTAAAGGGAACTGTTTCAGATGTTCCCCAAACACTTCCCCATTCTCTTATGGGCCCCATTCATTACAGGCTTCATTTCATTATGCAATTCTTTTGCTTAATAAATCTATACATTATTTTCAGTAGTATTTATTCGAAAAACAACACTGGTATAGTTCTTCGAGTATTAACCAACTGGATTTCAGTGCATGCTAGGCCTGAGTATCGCAAACTACCTAACGATACGATACATATCATGATATCATGATATGTTGTATATCATGTGATATACAACATGTACCATGATACAGCTGTCACCAATTGAATTAAGCTTTATCTAAACATATAATTCTTTGCTAACTCCACAGTTATAGAAAATATACAAAGAATATCTTGATAACCCTTATCAAAGTTAATAAAAGGTGGATTTATAGTCTTGATATTGTATTTTTTCTTTGCTACCTTTTTTTAGCCATTTTAAAACATTAAAATTTGTTAGGTTGAATGTAGAAGTTACAAACAAAACAATGAAAATTATCTTCTACTGTATCACAATACATACATGGCAATACAATACGCGTATCGTCAGCCCTTGCGATCAATACGATCGATGTATTGCTGTATCGTTACACCTCTAGTGCATGCACATGCCCATATTTTCTAAATATTTCATATTCCTTCCTCAAGAAGAGACTCACAATAAATAGCTATGTAAGAAATCTAAAGATTTTCATTGAAAACTATGAGAGATACAGCCATATAAGTATTAGCAAATCAGAATCCACGTTCTTGCATTCAATTTTCATAGTAGCACAATGTAGGAACTCATTACACCTATCTATATTCTGAATTCCATCCAGTTTTGTTAAAAACTAAGAAAGTTACTACTGTAACAGCCATTTAAAGTTTAAGCCAATCAAATTGCAGCACACTTGCATGAGCATGTTTTCACAATATCTCATATATTATATCAAAATGTAGAGCCTTGTTGTGTATGACTATGTTTAAAATTTCAAAGCATTTCATCAAAAAACACAAAGGTTATTGAGATTTTTTGTGTCAGTCAAACAGAGCAAAGCACACATGCATGCACATGCTTTCTTGCTAATTCAACCACCTCTTCTTGTCTACACCACTAATATAAGTCTATACAATGAAGTTCAAAGCATATCATAAAAAAACAGGAAGGTTAATGGTGTTTCAATTGCTTCAGTCATTTCACTCCTTGCACGCGCACGCATGTGCATGTAAGTGTGGGTAAAATGACCTTCCTTCTGCACATCTACACAACATGCCTGTTAACCCTAAATAGGTTTCATCTCAATCAGTTGATTAGTTTCTGTGATGACAGAGAAAGAAGCATTAAAGCTTCCAGACTGTCTCAACATGGTAAAGATCTATGGCTGGCATGAGATGAAAATGAAGAAGCAATGCTGCTTTAGGTCAATAGACATATGCAAGTTTATAATTCCAATGGGACATGTCTAATTATCCTATCAATTAGAAATTTTGCATAGCTGTTTTATTTGTTCTTGTTAAAATGTTGACAAATTTTCATGAATTTATGTCTTTCTTTTATGGAGTACAAGTAAATGTCTCATTAATTTCAAAATAGCCCTTATATAGCAAAGAAAAAAAAATCCACAAATAGTAAGACCAATACAGAATAGCATTTATCATATAAAATCTGACAATAGATATATGATTCCCCACCCTTCAAAGCTAAAGTGAATTATAAAATTGAAATTAACAAGAAGTCTGTGAGCCAATGTTCACTAGTAATACCCCTGCTTTGATGTGAATATATATTCTGATGTGAATATACACAAGTTCAGTTATGGGTGAACAAGAAGTTGACATCGAATTCGTACAAAAATGAATCCCACCATATGAAATGCCTAAACAAAGAAAGTGCTAAAATTTCAAGCATCTGCAATCAGTAGTTGCTGAGAAAATTGGGACCAAAATTTGTTACGTATGGTACGAACAGACACACGGACAAACAGGAAGTTGACATCGGATTCGTACAAAAATGAATCCCAACAAATGACATGCCTAAACAAAGAGTGTGCTAAAATTTCAAGCATCTGCAATCAGTAGTTGCTGAGAAAACTGCGACAAAAATTTGTTATGTATGGTACGGACAGATGCACGGATAAACAAGAAGTTGACATCGGATTCGTACAAATATAAATCCTACCATATGGCATGCCTAAACAAAGAATGTGCTAAAATTTTAAACATCTGCAATTAGTAGTTGCTGAGAAAACTGCAACCAAAATTTGTTATGTATGGTACAGACAGACGCATGGATAAACAGGAAGTTGAAATCAGATTCGTACAAAAATGAATCCCACCATATGGCATACCTCAACAAAGTGTGTGCTAAAATTTCAAGCATCTGCGATGAGTAGTTGCTGAGAAAACTGTGACGAAATATTTGTTACGGACAGACAGACAGACACACAGACAGACAGACACACAAGGGTAAAACAGTATAATTAAAATTATTATTTTTAATAAATATATCTTTATCCCAGATATCTTCCAAAAGAGATTTCAGTCTCTCTTCAGTCTGTATCGATACTTTTGGTATACCCATCCTGATGTCTTTTCATTGTATTTACATTTCAGTTTGTGTGGTTATATTGCATACAGTTTAAAGTACAGTGTCATGAGCTCATATACAGTAACATGTGATATAAATGCTAATTATCAAAATCCTGCCTCTCAAAATCAAAAAAAAAAAAAAATAATAATAATAATAATTCAATCAACCGCCAGAGTGATTTTATAAAGCCAAAGGTCAAGGTCAACTGAATTGTAATGTAACGAACTCACTTGCATTGAACTCTCTTTGTTTGAAAAATCAGTTTGTTTGAAATGAATTTGGTTTCTCCTAAAATGCTGGTGCAGTTTCTTTGCAATAAATACTCGTTTAGATTGAAATCGGTTAACTTGAAAAACTCTGTTAATTTGAAGTGATTTTGGGGTCTGCTGAACACAAAGCTTATAGCAGTTTTGATAACGGGTACATTAAAGTTGCCAATTGCGACGAGTGGACACAGGTGACTGACTATATACGACTAGCACGTGTTAATTTTTCAAAGGTGATTTGATGTTGGTGGACCCGTACAAATTTAATTATGTGTTGTATAGATAAAACAATAATCATTGAGCATTTCTCACCGGAACATATTAGTCGCCATTTTTATTTTCTAACTACGGCATTAAGACTGACATGGATAAAATATGCAGGGGTGTCATGTGTAAATTGGTGTGTGGAGAATAGGGCTGTGTATTGACCAAAATATTTCGATAAGATATTTTATAAAGCAATACTTTTTTCATGTATAAATAGTCTTGATAGTTTTCTAACACAAATCAAAAAAAAAAAAATAAAACAGTAAAAAAAATTTAGGACTTTTTTGAAAAATAGAGATAAGTACATTTCTGAAACACTGCATGTAATGTTATGTAAAAATATGAATTCTCAAATGTATATTTTTTTTTACTGTACAGTCAAGCCTCGTTACCTCGAACTTGAAGGGACCGAGAAAAAACTTCGAGATATCTGAGGATTCGAGATATCGAGGGTAAAATATTTAAAGAATAAGTGGTTGGGACAGCAAATCACTTTGACATATCCATGGTATTCAAGATATCAGTGTTCCAGATAACGAAGTTCAACTGTATCTACATTTTTTATGTAATTCATAGCACACAGATATAATGAAATTCGGTTAATTTGAAATAAATCTCAAGGTCCCTTAAATTTCAATGTAAACGAGTTTGACTGTATATGGTATTTTACAAAAGCCAAAGTGCCAAGCAATGCAAGTGCACAGTATCAAATCCATTTCTCTTACAGTTCTCAGGATCTAGGGTATGACAGACAGACAGACACCATGTAAAGTGATCTCTAAGTGTCGCTTTTACCAAAATTTTTTTTCATAATTTGTTTTCTTACCTCTCTGAAGAGCATGACAAAGGTTACATAGGTGATAGGTAGAAATACATGCATGGTATGTATTGGAGTAATCTTTTTAGTGAGTAGATTGCATCATGCATTGTTTATCTGCCATTGCTGATCTTTAACAAGGGAGACTTCTCCTGAAATAAGAAAAATTCAAAAGTGAAATTACCTGTTACTCTTAAAGGGACATAGACACAGATTCGACATTTTGAAATATTTTCTCAAATTGTCTGTATTATATCATGACATATATGTGGCTATAGCATTTCACATGGAAATATAATAACAAGAGGCCCATGGGCCACATCGCTCACCTGAGCACATTGGCTAGGCAAAAGCACAAATCAGTTCAGTATTGAAAAGATTACGGGGGGGGGGTTGAATTTTAAACTGTCTGATGATGCTTCCATGTCAATATAACAAATGGCTTTGTTGTACTTGAGATAATTTTAAAAAAAAGTTTTTCCATATATTCCTTTGTAAAAATTTGATCCCCCATTGTGGCTCCTCCCTATCCCAGGAGTCATCATTTGAACAATCTTGAATCTACACTACCTGATGATGCTTCCATATCAATATGACTAAACATAGCTTTTCTGTTCTTGAGAAGAAATATTTTTTCTATATGTTCTTATGTAAAACTTTTGATCCCCCATTGGGCCCCACCCTACCCCAGGGGTCATCATTTGAACAAAATTGAATTTACATACCTGAGGATGCTTCCATATCAAAATGACTAAACATGATTTTCAGTTCTTGAGAAGAAGATATTTTCCTATATGTTCTTATGTAAAATTTTCGATCCCCCATTGTAGCCCAACCCTATCCCCGGGGGTCATCATTTTAACAAACTTGAATCTACACTACCTGAGGATGCATCCATATCAAAATGACTAATCATGGCTTTGCAGTTCTTTAGAAGAAGATATTTTCCTATATATTTCTACGTAGAATTTTGATCCTCCATTGTGGCCCTGCCCTACCCCCAGGGTGTCATGATTTGAACAAACTTGAATCTACACTACCTGAGGATGCTTCCACATAAATATGACTCATCATGGCTTTGCTGTTCTTGAGAAGAAGATCTTTAAAGATTTTTCCTACATATTTCTATGTAAAGATTTGGTAGTCCATTGTGGCCCCGCCCTACCCCCGGGGGTCATGATTTGAACAAACCTGAATCTTCACTACCTGAGGATGCTTCCATATAAATATGACTCATCATGGCTTTGCTGTTCTTGAGAAGAAGATTTTTAAAGATTTTTCTTATATATTTCTATGTAAAACTTTGATCCTCCATAGTGGCCCCGCCCTTCCCCAGGGGGTAATGATTTGAACAAACTTGAATCTACACTACCTGAGGATGCTTCCATATAAATATGACTCATCATAGCTTTGCTGTTATTGAGAAGAAGATTTTTAAAGATTTTTCCTGTATATTTCTAAGTAAAACTTTGATCCTCCATTGTGGCCCCGCCCTACCCCCGGGGGTCAAGATTTGAACAAATTTGAATCTACACTACCTGAGGATGCTTCCACATGAGTTTCATCTTTCCTGGCCCTGTGGTTCTTGAGAAGAAGATTTTTTACAGATGCTATTAATTTTTCACTAATTCTTTATTACCTCCCCTTGAAAGAGGGCGTGGCCCTTCATTTGAACAAACTTGAATCCCCTTCACCCAAGGATACTTTGTGGCAAGTTTGGTTGAAATTGGCCCAGTGGTTCTTAAGAAGAAGTCGAAAATGTTAAAAGTTTACAGACAGATAGACAGACGGACAGACAGACAGACGGACAGACAGACGGACGCCGGACAAAAAGTGATCAGAAAAGCTCACTTGAGCCTTCGGCTCAGGTGAGCTAAAAAACTTATTTTATCTGTGAATTATTGAAACTATGAATTTCGGGATGCGTTTGATCGACATATCACATAAGGATGAAGTTTACTTTGTGAAAGTGCAAGGATGTGTCAATCAAATGCGTCCCTAAATTTGTAGTTTCAATAATTTCCAGGTAAAATAAGTTTTTTTATGATATTTCCCTGTGAAATACTATAGCCACACATATGTCATGATCTAGTCGAAAATTTGAGAAAATATTAACTTCAAATCTGAGTCTATGCCCCTTTAAAGGTCATACACAAGGAAATAATTTCACTACATTTTACTATAAAGCCTTGATTAAATTAATCAATTAATATGACCCTCACTAGATAAAAGATGAAGAAAAAATGAATGATGCTTGGACAAAAATTTGAGATAAGAAATAAAATATATTCCTTATGCAGCTTTTAATAGAGAAAATTGATATTATTGATAGGTAAGATACCTTCGATCATGTGGATTTCACATGCTGATAAACAGTTTACACACCATCCAGGAAGTTGCATCATGAACACCTAAAAAAAGAGTATTCCTTGAATTCATTGATTGCCCACAAGTATAATATTCCTAATATATGAGTCAAAAATAAATACTGTGGGCCTAAAATGAGAAACCGAAAAAGAAAACCTGAAAAGAAATTGTCTCTTTCTACAAACAACAACAACTGACTAAGTTCATTTTGATTTGCTATTCCTGGCTCTAAGCTAAGCATGGCATAACAAGGGTCTACTGGAAAGAAAGGGTAAATTATTCATATGGTAAAAAATTAACAAATCAAACTTTGTAAATAAATACCCAAGCATTTGGTTTTGTCTTTGATTTCGACAAAATGTTACCGATCTCCAAAAATTTCTGTTTATGTGTGCTGAGCCACAGTAAAATTTTAAATGTTGTAGAACTGTACATGTATATCCATATCTAGATTCAGTAAGAAATTTCTAGTCATTTGACAAGTTAATTTCACAGTTATACCAAAGTTTGATTAACAATGTTATGGTTAATAAAATATTATCCAATTTATGCTTATAATTATATTATTAAAGTGCAATTTGTCAAAGTAAAAAATGCCTGTAAAAAGAACAAGTGGCCATGGGCAACAATGCTCACCCGAGTCACTATGGCCTTGCTGTTCTACTTTTCTTTTTACTACACATGATGATGTATATTTATTCATATGTAAAAATTTGATTGTCCATTGTGGCCCCACCCTACCCTGGGGGGTCATGATTTAAACAAACCTGAATGTACGCTAAGTAATGAAGCTTTCAGAGAATTTTCATTTTCTGGCCCACAGTAATGAAGCTTTAAAATTCACAGAAATTTCATTTTCTGGTCCACTGATTCTTGAGAAGAAATTTATTTTAAGATGCCATTAAATTTACAATTCTTAATTATTTCCCCTTGAAAGAGGGTGTAGCCCTTCATATGAACAAACTTGAATTTCCTTTACCCAAGGATGCTCTGTGGCAAGTTTGGTTTAAATTGGCAAAGTGGTTCTGGAGAAAAAGATGAAAATGTGAAAAGTTTATGTCGCCGCCTCCAACAACAACAGTGACAGACAACAGACAAATTTTGATCAGAAAACCTCTCTTAAGCCTTTGGCTCAGGTGCGCTAAAATAAAAGATGGAGAAATAAAATTTATTGTTAATGACAGTTTTACTTATGTATTTTAAAACCCTTTCTCAAATACCATGGATATGTCTAAGTGCTCAAGTTCAGTGAGTTTATGAACTTTACCCTCTATTCTTGAAACCTCAGTTATCTGTTTCTCAAAGGTTTTTTTTTTTTTCAGTCCCATCTATTGCCATAATAGGCTTATCTCCAGGGGGTCCTCATGACTAGCAATTACATAAGCAATAAGGTTTTTGGATATAAATATATTAAAATAAATAAAACTGAATAATTAATGACAAGATATGCATTCGACATTGGGTGACACAATTGGGGAAAATATTCTGGCATGTTACCCTCGAAGTAAGTGACTGTGAAATTTACTTGTCTGAACATAACTTTTACTTGTATGAAACTATTTTATAAAAGACCTATCTAACAATTTGAAAAAATATTGTACATTACAATAGTCTATAATACATTCATGGAGTCTGTTTTTGAGATTTTGAGTGGACACATCTATTGCAAATTACTAAACTGTATCATCCTATCCTAAAGTAGATGTAAATCATGTTATATAATTACATGTATGAAAGAAAAATAGTAACAATAAGAAATAGCTGACTATATGACTTCAAATTTTTCTTTGCCTTCTTTTGCTTATCCTTTGTAGCCTATTAAATTGTCTTTTGCTAAAGCTCTCCTGCCAGATAATAAAAACCCAAATTTCCTTCAGTAAAAGTACACATTTCAAAGTTACTGTAGTTCTAAGTAGTCAACTTCATGGTACTTTAAATATTAAAATTAAAATTGTGACAAATGCCTGAAAAACATCAGATATTTCAGACAAGTTTCATAGTAACATTGTTCCTGATCAAGCTTGACAACCAGGGCCATCATTATTACGAGCAGGATCAACATTTAACTATTTACAAACCGCATGCATGGCATGTTTTCATTTTGAACCTCCGATAAAAAGTTGACAACAAATTTTAATTCTTTAAGTTTTCATGCTCAGCTATAAAAAATTCTTCCTAGAAAAATATCCCTTGTCAAATCGGACAAGTGGTCAGCAATTATCACTTGTTCATGAAAAATTTTACTGGTACATGTACTGGACAAGTGGATGAGCGTACAATGTCGAGCCCTGGAACTATGCCTCATTTTTTGTTTACATTTGCTTAGCAACCAACAGCATTAAATCTCGAACCCGAGCTATTATAATATGTAGCATAAAAGCACACGAGGATGATCAAGAGGGTGTTACAACTGTTTCTGTTTTGTTGTATTTGTTTCTGGCATTTGTTATTAACTGTTTCTGATGTGATGTGAATTCTTCATGGTATATATATTGAAACTATATTTGTGATAAAAACATAATTAAAAAAATTATTAAAAAATGTATTTCAAAAATGTAAATGATACTAGTAGTATAAAAAATCATTTTTAAGCATTTCAGTGTAGATTATAAACATCGCACCTAATGGGTCCTAGAAAAAACTTTGTGATATCCTACAATTCAAGATACTGAAGTTAAAATATGTACTTGAAGCATAGCATAAATTT